CAGATATACGCAAAGCTTTACTGAAGTACTTCGCATTTTACGGAATACCTAAATTGATGGGTTTGACAACGAACCCGCAATTAAATCAATTGAAATACGAGGACTCCTTTTTGACCTCAACGTACAACAGTACTTTACGCCGTCCAATTACAGTCAAGTAAATGGAATCGTGGAACGCTTCCATTCCACTTTTTTCTGAGTTTACAGAACTAACAAACACAAATACGAGAATATATCGAACAAAGAAAAATCTCTAAAAGCCTGTTCAATCTATAATAATACTATGCATTCTTCTATTTATGAAATATTTTATGCAGCAAAAGAAGGCACAGATAGACCCGTGAATATGGATGCTCTTATCGAATATAGATATAAACATTACGATGAGACCACTCTTCAAATCTCAAAAACTGAAAAGCAACAACGTGACTACCATAATATTGGCCGAGAGCAACCTCCGACGTTTTGAACCGTGTACAAGGCATTAAATCAAAAATTAAAAGCCAATTCAAATCAGTTCTAGTAACGACAAATCGAAACCAAACATATGTGGATGAGAAACGGCGCAAACTACACAAATCCAAATTGCATAGGATTAGAAAGTAACAATTGGTTACCGTCTATTCCTTTTCCAGATTCATTCACCAATATGAGTCGAGCTCTAACCGACGACATTCTTTACACATTGTGCTATATGCAATTACTCGAAATGAAGAGAACGACTACTAAAGCGCTAGTTGACCTCGAACAGGAAATCCGAGATCGGCTAGAGTGGAGTACCAACAACTAATAATAATAAAAGTAATAATAAAGTGCATGTTACTAATTACATTTTATCTTTTTAGGCTGAGTTACACCCGAAGACATAAAATAGCCCAACCAAGGCGTACTGTCACCAAAACTTCGATGTTCCACAAACGATACCCCACAGCCAGATTCAGAACACACCCTAAGAAACCAGCCAACCTAATCAAGGTACACAACCACCAGTAACATTTTTTCTCGTTGATGTTGGAAAATGGACATCATTACAGTATTTCTATTAATAATTACCCTTTCAAACACCACACCTCAGTCTATACAGATAAAAAAACCTGGATAAAAACCCAGGACTTCTAACTTTAAAATTACGAAAAGGACATATAAAAATAGGCAACCACAAAATATTTCATATTATTGACCTAAAAAACTCCCAGCTACTTTGAATGGGTTAAAGGCCTTCAGCAACCTCACCGACATTGGTCACTTGCTTGAGTCGAAATACAATACGATGAAAAATTTATATCATAACCTACTACCTAGTATAAGACACAAACGAGGTCTCATAATTTTTTAGGATCAACAATTAAACAAATTACAGAGAATTTAGATAATGACGACCTCATACAAATTTTGGAAACCATTAAGAAACTTGAATTTGATAACCATATTTTTTTTTTCCTTTGGTTTGTTTTTTCCGTCGATCTTGTTTTCCGTGCTGAGCACCAATGCTACCGACGTGCCAGGAAGGCAGCTCCCACACCTGGACCCTACCTATCGACCCATCAAACTCATGAACCGGGGACCAACGGCTTTACTTCCCATCCGAAGGAAGGCGTGATCAGAGATGTTATGCCTCAGAACATCCCGGCGGCGCCGACTGGGATTGAACCCAGGCCTGCTGGGGTGAGAGGTAATCACGCTTACCACTACACCACCGGCGCCGTTAGTAACCATATTTTGGTAAACGAAAATAAGGAGCAAGCAAAAATCAATGTACAACTTCAGAACAGAATATATAGAGTCATAAATGAGTTAGAATACCAACACAACCAAATAAGAAAGAACATAATCGCTCAAAGGTCAGAAATAAGACAAAACAAAAGTTTAAAATTAATCGAAAAAATTATAAAAATTAACCTCTATATTGACATCCTCAACTCCCATTTAGAAACAATTTCGGAAGCTATTCAACTAGCTAGACTAAACATTATTTCAAAAAATATTCTTTCACCGGATGAATTGCATTTTGCAATAAAACACTTGGAAGACAAGGGCATTTCTGTCAGTCATCCTGAGCAAGCCTATAATTTTCTAGGGCTAGAAGCATTCTACAATCAGAGTAAGGTAATTTTTATTGTAACCATACCATTATTAGAAACATACAAACCTACATATAGCCTACTGTTTTTAGAAGCATTACTCATAGGAAATAGAACTATCAAGTTGCCTGCTACCAAAATCATCATAAACGACGTAAAAACATACTTCATAATCAAGGACTGTCAACAAATCCACGAGTACTATGTCTGCGGATTTGAGAACCTGCTTTCTAGATTGTTACGAGGCTCATCAGGAAATTGCGTAACTACATAATCTTGAAACAAGTAGTCAATGAAACCATCCAGTCCAACTGCGGTATAAGAAACCGAACACTGACAGGAACATTCTTAACGAATACCACAATTGCACAGTGACCATCAACAGCGAGAAATTCTCGAACGACGAGATTACAAAAGCCGAATCACCTGACATAATCCCTTTGGATGGTTTGGATATTCAAGTAAACGCCGTAGATCCCATCTTCGACAGGCTCAACATCGTAAACAGGCATCATCTAGAAACTTTCGCCGAAACGCAAAAATTCCACTCTTTCACCTCGATAACTTTATCTAGCTTCAGCATACTAATCGGAATAACAGTTTCAATTTACCTGATTTGGAGAAACAAACCCAAAACAATACGAAAAACCAGGAAACTACAACCAGATACGAATCGGGACGATTCTTTTTCTGAGGAGGGAGTAATTGAGGAGCGCTCCCCAACAACAACCCAAACACCAGAAGATATCGGACATCGGTTGGACACAATTAAACAAGAACCATAGCAAGTAGCCATAACATTGAGTGCGATTGCACAGTCATCGTTTCCAGGGATCCTCAACGCCAAAGACTAGTACGAATGGCAGCGTCGACAGCAACAACAACAACAACAATAACAACATCAGTAACGGTTATAACTCTTCAGCACCCCGACGACCACCATAGCATACACCAAGTACACTAGCAGAAAACGCCAATTCAGCAACAAAGTAATGTGAACACCCAACCACGATGTTTACGAAGATGATCACCACATGGCAACGGCAACAGCAAGTCAACCCGACACCGGTTGGTAGCAGAAGCAGCATTAGCCAGTACATAGGATAATAATTAGAATTCAGCACTTTCTCAAATAATGTAAGCTCTTTTGTATTTCATACATAAAATTCAAATTGAGGGAATAAATCATTCTAGTTCGAACCATCGTTGCGAGTAGTCTTTAATTTTTTTTTTAAAAGTCTTCGAAGTCCATTCGAAATATAACTTAAAAAAAAAATACTATTTTCAAAAATAGTGGATCACTCTAATTATGCACCAGCCTAATATTGGACCAGAGAAACAAGGGAGATGCGATACTGGCAAGAACAAAACAACAGTGACACGATATACCTTCTACACTGAGGCGGCAGCAGACTGGAGAGACGAAATTATTTGATCCAATAATGGGTCAACAACCTCGTAGCTGGTGTGCCTCGGTCCACTCGGTAGGCAATTTTGTTGTTGCTATCGATGATGTGATGTGCCGATAGTGGTGATGATATTGCTGATGTTGGTGTTGCGATGATGATGATTAAAGCTGGACCGTAATCAAAGCGCTCGGCGTATGGTTAACGGCTTCCTCAATCGCGCACTTGTTGTCTATAACACTATGCCAACTAACTTTGGTGAGGAGAAACCCTCGCGTGGGAGAAAACTCAAATATATCGAACTATAGTGTCATAACAACGAGACCAGTACGTCTTGACCAGTTCAGCCGTCAGCGTGCGAGACGGAATGACGTAGATGGTGATGGTGCATGATATTTGCTATCCATCTTCAATGCACACGCACACTAATTCAATCTATTTATTGATCAATCCCCTCCCTTAGCTCAGTCGGTAAAAGCGCAGCTACAAAGCAAGACCATGCTGGAGGTGTCTGGGTTCAATTCCCGGTCCGGTCTAGGAATTTTTCGGGTTGGAAAATTTCTCGACTTCCCTGGACATAGAAGTATGATTGGACGTGCCACACAATTATACCAATGCAAAAATGGTACAGGCATCGAAAGCTCTCAATTAATAACTGTGGAAGTGCATCTAGAACACTAAGTTGACAGCACGCAATAAGCTAATATGCGATATGCAATAAGCTTGAAATGCGAAGAAGAAGAAGAAGATTGATCAATCACAGCGCCGGCCACGTCCTCACGGTCACCGAATACAACTCTGCATCACCACGGTTTTCACGGGGAGGATAGTTGTGTTAGTGAAGTGGGTTATTTTTAGATCAGGATTCAGCTGGGATGTGTGATGCGATCGGTTGATTAAAGCAGAATTCGTTTTCATTTAAATCCAGGGGGATAGAATAAGGCAAAGTGAAAAATTGCAAGGAAGGGGACGGGTTTGAGATTGAACTCTCGACCTTCTGCTCAGTAAGCGGAAACGATAATCACTGAGCTGCCAAACCTCGTCTATACGCGATGATCGATGCTCTTCATCGATTTTCTCTTTGCATTGTTACAACTAAGCAAAATAATTTTCTTGAATTTGTTAAATGCAGAGTTGTAACATGTTGTATTGGGTATCAAAAACAACAGCAAAGCACCGAGAGACGTTAATTATAGTGAGTTATTAACAAAAGAGAAAATCGACGAAGAGATTCGATCATCGCCTTTACGCTCTTATGCATGCTCACTGTAGAATTATTCATTTTTAAAAGACGAACCAGCCCAAGGCTGAAAATCTCTCTAATAAAGCAAATTAAAAAAAAAAACAAGTAAATTCGCATAGATACACTCGAAAATTGCGATACAATTTTTTTTGTTTTTTGTTGATTATTTGTTTTCCATGGTTCGAATAATAAATGCTATTCGGAGGTTAAATAAAACAAACAAAGTATTTGGTTGTGAAAATAAATTTTAATGTTTTTTTTTTACGTTATTGAAATTTCTGATTGAAAGAACTGATTTATTTTTTATTAAACACAGGGCGTACCTTTAATTATATCGCTTATCGGACCTGTCAAGATTCTATAATTGTACTCTACAGGATCCAAGGACGTAAAAATAAACATTGGAAGTCGATCGGATAACACCCAGAGGTTGCCTTCTGTGTCGACTTTCAGATCATTAGGGAACACAAGTGCATCACTATCCGAATCAACCAATCCCTGCGTGTCCTGAGTTAAGGGCCTGGCGGTATTCCAGCAGCCAATTCCATCTTTATTTACTTGAGTGTAGAAAATTATTCCTGTTTCTGGATCGTAGAACTCTGCTGAAGACTGCGAGTTTGGTCCACGATCACCCATCAGTTTGTAGTCGTAGTAAGACTCCGGACTTTGGGAGTAGGTTTCATTTTGCAAAATTTTATTCGAGACCATGAATTCCTTAGTACTAGAGAAAGCGTGGAAGTAGATTGGCTTGGATCCATCACGAAGACGCTTTCCGACCGCCATTCCAAATACTCCATCCGTCCACTGGAAGTTAACACCGCCAATGTTGTAATCTCCAGACAGTGGATCGAAGTGGAAAAAATTGTGTTTAACGCGCCACGATTTATCTTCGTTGAATGAATAGACTATCACTTGATATCCTCCCAAATCCGGTACGTAGGCAAAAGCATTGTTGCAGTCTCCTCGATCGGCATCGATGATCTAAAATAAACATGTATTTTTTAAATGTTGGGTATTGATTGAGATGGTTTGCCGAACGTACAACATTAGCAAAAAAAGAATCTTCCTTCAGTAGTGATTTAGGAAAGTAATGTCTTCTGATAAGCTTATCCGAAAATAAATCAAAAATTGCTAGAGATGGAGTTGCATGCTGCATCGGATTGCCTAGGATATCTTCAAGACCTGTATCCATAACCCAAAGGCGATCACATTCATCTGCTCTGACCCGAAAGGTGGAAATGATAGTACTGTTGTCTTCTAAGAGTTTTGATGAAGCTCTTGTTTCGTCTTCAGAATCTGAAAAATAAAGGACAGTATACTTGAGTAATAAGAACTGTATTCGGTTGAAATTGGAGAAGCATACATTTCTGCTTTTAATAATAATGATTCAAAAGTCTATTTGTCATAATTGCTCACTCATGCAAAACAAACTTGACCCTACCTGAAATGTGTATGGCCGTACAACCACTTACACTTGGTGGATGTCTTGTCCACATGGGATAGGAATAGCAATTTGCTATCGAGGGTGAGACAAAAGTAATTCACTAATTCACTCGACCATTCAATGAGAGTGCTATCTAGATGGACCGTGATGTTAGCAGGCGGAACAAGCTGAGTTGAATTCGAGTGTGGAAACACACAGGTTTGTGTTTAAGCTGCATTGATACAACCAATCGCGCTAGCTGTTTCTCGCCATCAAAGTCGTTCTATTTCCTGCCATCAGAGTCGTTCTGGCCCTGCGGTCGAGTTCGGTGGTGGGGTCTCCCAAGCATCGTCTACAGGGAAGTATGTATACATTAGTTACAGTTATTTGCCTGATCAGTTTCCGTGTTCCAGTGCAACGCTTCAAGCACCTGCCGGCTGTTTCCAGTTGAGAAGCACTTACGACCGCCTTTTTATAAGCTCCTGGTTCTTTCAGCCCAGTCGTGCTGATTCCTTCCAGCACTCAGCATAGTCGTCCTGGTCTTGTGGCTGGATATGGATCAGGAGTCTTCCAGCTTGCTTCTACAGGCAAGCACAATCAATATATTGATAATTCACTGCCTGATGCCGATCAAATTTTCAGCAATTCATAGTCTGTCATTGTGATGATGCCTCTGTAACACCCAATCCTGGGAACGCGGAACGCAACGTAGAAAGCCTCTTGGAAGCCCCCAATTCCTCCGCCTCAGTCCTGTCATCAGCAGCCTTCGTTCACCAAAGCCGTTCCGGACCTGCTGTCGGATGTGGAGAGAGGGTCTTCCAACCCACCCACTATGGCGAGTATTCAATCAGACTCGATGATGGTCAGTTATTGTCTGATGTATCTGTAATTTCCAGTAAATCTACTGGTGACAGAGTCCTTGTAGCTGTCCGTAGCGGGTTGGAGGCAATGGCCATCGAGAACGATTCATGGAACAATGTTGAGCAGGTACTTCCGAATCCTTCGAGGATAAACGATGCATCTTCGTTATCCCCGGAACACACCGTAGATGTTTCCACGATTTCCAAGAATAATGCTGCTACCTCTACTGCTTCTGGACCACCACCATCACCACAATCACCACCGAGACGCATCGTGGATAGCACTGTGGAAACCTCTTCCAACTGGCAAGTTTATTGACGATTGAGCTTCTCCTTTGCCTGATACTGCTTCAACTTCTAGCTGTGTTTCCGGTTTTGCGACCTCCACACTAGCCACATCATGTCCATGCATCCGTCTTGCCAACTACCAGCAGGTTTATGCCACCACCTGCTCTTCCTCTTCCGGGACACCATAAAACAGGCACTGAGGAAGCTTCCGAACCTCCCGACCCAGTCGTGCTTGCTGCAGACATCCGCCATCGTCATCGTCCCGATCCTGTGGTCGGTGATGGTATCCGGGGCTTCCGGCCTGCAACCTCAGGCGAGTATGTTAGCGATTCCGAGCTTTCGGTACCAAATGTCCTTTCGATTTCTAGTTCCCGTGATTGCTCCTCGAATGGTCTCCGGATCTACTACCAAAACGTGCGTGGGCTGATGACTAAAATCAATTCGTTTTTCCTGGATGTTGCGGAGGCCGAATATGATTTGATTGTGCTGACGGAAACGTGGCTGAACGACCGAATTTACTCATCGCAACTTTTCGGGTCACTCTATTCCGTCTTCAGAACTGACCGGTCTGCCCTAAACAGTCAAAAATCGCGCGGTGGCGGAGTTCTGATTGCAGTATCTACGAGACTAGCCAGTTACGTAAGTACGTCACCCATTTCCAGTCAACTGGAACAGCTGTGGATTGCCGTAGAACTTCCACAAGCAAGCTTAGTGTAGGCGCAATCTACCTGCCTCCCGACCGCAAAAACGACTGCACGATCATCCGTGAGCATGTGGAATCGTTAGGCTCAATTTCGTCACAATTAAGTCCATGCTCTCCCGCTTTCGTATTTGGTGACTACAATCAAGCTGGTCTGCAGTGGCGCTTTACAGACAGTGGCACACCATTAATTGATCCACTGCTTTCGCATATGCCGGTTGCTTTTGTGCTCTTTTGGACGGTTTTAACTTTTACGGGTTCACACAAGTGAATACTTTTCCGAACCGAAATGGACGTTTGCTAGATCTTGTCCTGGCACATGATTCCGCACTACCGGGCACTTCTGTTTCCTTGCCGGTCGAGCCACTTATTGATCTAGATGCCGATCATCCCGCTTGTTTGCTCGTCATTTCGAGCAAGTGTTCCACGATTTCTCCGCTTCACCAACACAAGTGCTGGACGCTATTGCTGGAACGCCACGTGATGTGTTTAGTTTCCTTATTCCGCGCATTTCAGAAGACATGGTGATAGCCGCAACACGCAAACTGGCATTCCGTCATCAGTTCTAAAACGTTGTGTAGCCAATCTCTGCCTTCCACTTGCGAGGGTATTAAATCTCTCTGCACAGCCATGTGAGTTCCCCTGCCGCTGGAAACTTTCTTATCTGTTCCCAGTGTACAAAAAAGGAGATAAACGGAATTTCATAAATTATCGTGGAATCACCTCCCTGTGTGCCTGCTCAAAACTGTTCGAAATTATCATAAATGGTGCTCTGTTCGCACGCTGCAAAAATGATATCGATACAGAATAACACGCGAAGCGCTCCGTGTCCACGAACCTGGTGCAGTTCACTTCTAACTGTCTGCGATACATGGATTCAGGATGGCAAGTCGATACTGCGTAATGGATCTAAAAGCTGCATTTGACACGGTGGACCATAATATCTTGCTGGCCAAGCTGAAGATACTTGGCATCTCGCAAATGCTGTGGATTCGTTCAGATCTTACTTGGTGAATCGCTAGTACATGTCAAGATTGGCGCGTCGGAATCGGATGTTTTCTCAAACAACTCGGGAGTCCCGCAAGGCAGTAACCTAAGACCGCTACTATTTTCGCTCTCTTTAAACGACGTCGCCTATCAGCAATGGTATCAGCAATCAGGATGCCGCGTTTTTTATGCAGACGATACGAAAATCTATAAAATTATTAAAAGCCTCTCGGACTGCTGGGATCTCCAGAATATGTTAGGTATTTTTGCTGACTGGCGCTCAAGAAATTTGATGAGTCTAAGCATAGAAAAATGTAACATTATTTTCTATCACCGAAAAATGGAACCAATCATGTTTGACTATGTTCTCTACGGACGCTGTCTTGCTCGTGTAGAGCACATAAAGGATATCGGCGTTACCTTGGACTGCAGATTCACTTTCAGAATCCAATGACATCATCGCCAGAGCTAATCGACATAGGGCTTTATTTTCAAAATTGCCGACGAGTTTCGTGACCCGCTATGCCTCAGGTAACTTTACTGCTAGCTTGTGCGATCTTTATTGGAGTCAAGTTCAGTTGTTTGGTGCCCTTTTCATGCTAGTTGGATCACTAGAATTGAATCCGTTCAACGCAAGTTTGTAAGATATGCTCTTCGTTTCTTCAACTGGCGTGATCTAACGAACCAGAAAAGGTCACCCGAAATGAGTCTATGGAGGTAAAACTCTTTTTACCCTCGCTGACAGATACTGAGCCCAGTTTTTGGACATCCAGTATCTTCACCGGGAGAAGCAAGGGGTTCTTGAAACGGCCAACCACCTGCTTCTCCAAGATCTCGGGGGTCAGACTCGCTTCAGTAACCACACCTTCAATCTCCACATCACGAGCTGGGATGTAAACTCTATACTCGAGCGTAAAGAGCTGGGAGACAGCAATCTCATTAGCTTGCTTAAGATTAGAGACGGAAACACGAAGTTTATTATGCCTAACCTTCGTGATTTCGGTCACGGCCGAGAATCGCTTCGTCAAATCATTTGAAATTTGTACCACATTCAAAGGTTTGTTTTTGGGCTAAAAGTAGACAACCCATAGATCAGTCGAGTTATTCGGATAGGCCCGTGATCGAAAGCTTTTCTCAGCCTGCCCATTAACAGACTGAGATGACGAACCAGGGATGACATCATCAGTTTTTTTTAGATGATTGGTCATCCATGTCGTCTTCCGACAAAACTTCCATTTTGTCGTACTAGTGGGAGCGCAAAACGCTCTACCACTGAAACGCACACAGACACAATACACAGAAAACACTACAAACACAGAAACACAAAATGAAAATTTAACTAGGGGAGGACAGTACATAACGCACCCCCGGGGTAATACGCACTTTTTCATTTTATTTAGAGTTTTTCTTGGAATTTTTAATCCAATTCAAGGATTTATCACGCAGGATTTTGATTCAGATGCTATGCTAGAAGTGCCTCTTGATAAGACAACAAAAAAGTTACGTAAAAGCCATGAAAAACACAAATGAAAGTCAGTTGGTGCGTTCTGCCCAGGGGGTGCGTTGTATACCATTCTCCCCTATTGGGGGAGGAAAAGAAAAAAAAATCAAAAACAGTACCCCATTCTAGTTGAAATTCTATTATTATTTAGCTTTATTAACGAGGCTTTTAGCCTTGGGCTGGTTCGCCTCCAAAAGAGTTGAAATTCTAGTACCACACTATGTTTGTTTTGATTCTACATGAAAGTTTGACAGATAAAATGAGCAGTTCGTGGATTTTCCTATGTTTTGAGGGATGCATCGATTAGCTTGGGACCGAAGATAGCACCAGAGCTGAGCCAAAAAGTTGAGCTCGTTTTTTCGGGACCTTCTGGTCTTGTTTCTGGAAAAGCTTAAACGCGTCGGACTTTTTACGATAAGCTTCAGTGCATTGCTGGTTTTGCCAAGGGCAAGGAGGGTTTCTACGGAAAGACGTTCCTGGACCCAGCCAAGTTTGAGCTTGAAGCAAGCTGTCCACGATTAGGTTGGAGAGAAAGTTATATTCCTCCAATGGTGGAAACCCTCCTACCGACGTTAGGGCCTTTTCTATCACAGTCTTGAACTTTGCCCAATCGATATTATGGGTTAGTTAACGGATTCCGACGGATTTAACCCACTGGCAATCGAAATTTTGATCGGCAAGTGATCACTACCGTGGGGATCTTGGAACACATTACACATGCAATCCAACCATAGAGCTAACTCTAAGACCAGAAGATCCCGAAGAAACGAGCTCAACTTTTTGGCTCAGCTCTGGTACTATCTTCGGTCCCAAGCTAATCGAAACATAGGAAAATCCAATAACCCCTCATTTTATCTGTCAAAATTTCATAGCGAATCAAAACAAACATAGTGTAGTACTGGAATTTATACTTGAAGGGGGTACGTTAGTCGATTTGCTTGGGACCAATAGGCTAGTCAAGTAGTGAGCCAATTTAAAATCGTTAGTTTCGTATTGATTGTTGATCCAACGATAATGAATTAGAGCAAAGGGTGAGGTCTAATCTACTTCCAATCGAGGATGGACCAGCCAAACGTGTTACATCTCCATTGTTAAGAATTGAAGCTGTCTCAGAGGTCATATATCAAAGTAGAACGGTTGTTATCATACAGTTACCCCGTGGGAATTAAAATCTCCCATAATCAACCGTGAAGTAGGAAGAACTGAACGGATATCTGAAAGTTGCTTTCGATTAACCGAAACTCGAGGAGGAATATAAACAGAAGCAATACAAAGGCTCTTGCCTTTAATAATAACCTGACATGCGACAGCTTCAATTCCTGTAAATTGTATAGAAGGATCCCCAGAAGTACCCCTCCTCCACGCGAATCCTCACGATCCAGTGGAATAATGTTAAAACTTTGGAATAGAAAATGAATAATGTAATCATGAAATGGAAGATATCGATCTGAAGAGCGCCATGCTTCATAAAGAGCAAAGGCTAAAACAACTAAAAACTTAAACGATTCTAACTTAGGAATAAGACTTCGACAGTTTCATTGTAGAGCAGTGATCAAATCTCGTTTGGAAAATTGTCCATGGAAGGAAATGATTGCTGCAAGGAGGGGCCACTTCAATGTCAATTGCTTCAAGAGGATCTTCACAGTAACAAGCATTGCCAGAACAATGCTTTTGAGAGGATCAGAAATATCGAGGTACTTGAGGATACCGTCCACAATGTTATGAAATGAGAACATCCCAGATGAAGAAGGGGCTTCTGTTCTAAAAAATGGGCCATCAGGGGTTTTCGATTTCCCTGTTAGAGATGAAAATGCTGGTTATAGTCAGTTCTGCGGAAAGCAAGAGGAGTAGAAGCTTGCTTTTTTCCACCACTCCTTTATTTGGGCAAGCTGATTTGGGGTTCCTGATCTGCAACGTTCCGCAAACAGATGCGTCTTCGTTTCCATGAAGAATTAAATGGAGATCCCTCATCAGCCAAGTCAGAGTCAGACTTGTCATCTGACAAAAGAGCAAAGGGATTTTTGTCGTCGGTCTCTGGCGTGACTGTGCAGGCGCCATCCTCGTGCTTCTCCCCGCATTTGGAACAGCGTGCTTTGCTGCCACAGTGAGAGGCCGTATGTCCCAACTGTTTGCAATTTTTGGTAGTTCATGTCCCGAGGAACAAACAAGCGCACAACTAGCCGAAGTTTTTTCCAACTCGATGTAGTGAGGAAGGGCTGAACCGAAACGAGTCTGTGAGGGTAAAGCTTTTTTTTTACCTTCGCTGAAATATACTGAGCCCAGTTTCTGGATTTCCAGTATCTCAGTCGTAGGAAGCAAGGAGTTTTTGAAACGGCCAACCGCTTGCTTCGCCAAGATCTCGGAGGTCATACTCGTTTCGGCGACCACACCTTCGATCTCCAACATTACGAGCTGGGATGTACACCACTCGAGTGTAAAGAGCTGGGAGGCAACAATCTTGTCAGCTTGCTTCAGGTTAGAGACGACAACATGAAGTTTATTGTACCTAACCTTCAAGATTTCGGTCACGGCCGAGAACCGCTTCGTCAGATCATTAGTAATTTGCATTACATTCAATGGTTTTGTTTTTTGGCTGAAAGTAGACAACGCATGGGTTAAGTCTTCTGAGTAGGCTCGCAATCGGGGGCTTTTCTGAGCTTGTCCATTTCCAGACTGTGATGACGAACCAGGGATGGCATCATCTGATTTCTGGGATGACAGACGTTTGCGACCCTTCTTGCCATCGGGTGACAAACTGGGATTGTCTTCCGACAAAATGTCCATTTTGTCGTACTACTAGTCAATATCACTTTACAACCAAAAACCGTTAATCCGAAAGAATAAAAAAAGGTGGATATGATGAAGTAATATATTAATGTATTAATCGTGCAAATGATAAGTTCAAGATAAGCCCCTAGATTACTAGTAACATTATAAATCGTTGCGTACCCTTTCTTGCTGGTAATTGGTTAGCCTCCCAACTGGGATATGGGTGCAGTACGGGTGATAAACCGTCGGAGATGTTCACAAAGGTCAATGAAGCCGCCACTCCGGATTTCCATCTGGAAGAGAGAACGAGTAAAATATTTATTAATAAATGTGGTTAGTTACATACGATGAGGTCCATAGCCATTCATCACTATAGAGCAGCACTTCCATTTCAAATGACGAGTTTTTTTTTTAAATTTTTCGATCGACCATCTACGATCATGTTGAAACTTTGTTTGTTATTGTCCAACATGCCATTTTATATATAGAGTAGAGCGCTATTTCATCGTAATAGCACATTTCCGTTCTATCGATCAGAAAAGATCAATAATATCAATGATTTCACATTGCACAAATCAATAATAGGTTTGTTCCTATATGCGTTAGTTCATTAGCTACAACATAAATCCTATTAGAGCGCATTGTATGAATATTTACGCTCATTGTTCTCAAAACAAAAGAAGCGCTTCTATCGAATTCACTTTTTCTACCATCATCAGTAGGACGAAGAAATGGCGTTTCAATGCGTTTGGACGGATTTGAAACTCGTAGGACGAATTTAGAATCAAGAAGCAGTATTAGATTTTAAACAATATCTCAACAATTTGTGTCTCTTTATCAAATCCAACCGTCCGTATGGAAAGGTGAATAAAAAGAAAAAAAAAATAAAAAATAAAAAAATAAAAGAAGTCGTCTTTGACAGAAATATTACATTTTTTGTTCAAACCCGTTCAAACAAGAGAGGTAAAACGCGGGTTGTGCTTATTAGGACGGAAATGGTTCCTATGGTTCCCTAGTTTTGTACCCACTTATAGACGTTACGGATGGTCCACTAGATCATCTGCACAGTTCGAAAAGGAATGTAAATTTCTGTTCAATATGATGCACATAAATGGAGCGTCACATATCATATAAGTTTACATTATATATCATGTAAAGTTCTGACACATTTCATGCAATGTAGCAAATATTGTATACAAAAGCCCATCTTTGTAAACAATATTGTTTATAAGTTGCTCGATTACGTGAAATGAAATTCAAGTTTACGTGAATGAATGTTCACATCACAATTAAAATTCAGAATTTTTATCTGTGTGGAACATCCGTAAAAGTTGTCAATTTATTTAACTGATCATGTAGCTCCGTGTTTTTTTTTTCAAAACCACTCAGACGTCTTATCAGAATTAATTTGGAATTGTGACCGGAATATTAACCCTGGGAACCACGGGATGGTTCACCGGTAGATCCGGATCATCCGTTAAAGTGATCAAATAATAAAACTGATCTTGCACAGTTCGAAAAAGTAGTGTAAATTTCTGTTTAGTATGATGCACATAAATGGAGCGTCACATTTCATATAAGTTTACATTATATATCATGTAAAGTTCTGAGACATTTCATGCAATGTAGCAAATATTGTATACAAAAGCCCATTATTGTAAACAACATCGTTTACAAGTTGCTCGGTTCCGTGAAATGAAATACAAGTTTACGTGAATGAATGTTTACATCACTATTAAAATTCAGAATTTTTATCTGTGTGGAGCTCCTCGTTTTTTTTTTCTAAACCACTCATAAATGTCTTACCAGAATAAATCCGAGGTTGTGATCGGAATAAAGACGCTGTGGACTACGGGATGGTTATCTATATCATTTGGAACGTCCGTAAATGTGATATCTTCATTAAAGTGATCCTCGTGCTCCACTTTTTTTTATTGCTCATAAATACCTTATCAGAATGGATTCGGGATTGTGACCAGAATATGGGCACTGGGGACTACGGGATGGTTCACTAGAAGAACCGGAACATCCGTAAAAGTGGTCAATGCATGCCATTCTCCACGCGGTTAAGTTACCGGGAAACCGGCCGATATTAGTCGTAACTGACTCACACAGCGTGATATTGGCCCTAACAACAGAAACACCGAAGCATCCGTGGATCCAAGGGACCGTAAAGCATGCGTCGCCCAACACTGTATTCATATGGGTACCCGGTCACTGCGGGATCCAAGGAAACGGTCCTCCGAAATATCCGGCACAACCGTTGAAGTGGATAGTTCAAGAAAACTGATCTCAGCACTCTGTGGTGTTTTTTAGAACTGCTCATAGACATAATTTGTCTATTAATTATCATGGATGATTTCTAGGTGGTATTTACATTGGTATTTAATTACGTTTAGGCGCCATTAACGGAATTTTTGAATATTATTCTTCGAATTTATTGGACTTCTTCCTCTTGACTTCTTGGAGATCTTTCTTTGGAGTAACAAGTTAACGAGGGATTATCTTTAAGTTTGAAATTAAATCCACAGCCAAAAATTAAGAATATTATATGACGTATAAACCGAAACCAATTTAAAATTACATCGCTTTAAACTATGTTTTAATATAATTTCACATTAAAAATCATGCACATCAAAAGAAAAGAGAAAACTCCTAAAATTACACGTTTATTTGAAAAATTTTCTCATGCAGTGTATTATTCTCCACGCGATGTAAAAACTTATTAAAGAACATCGAATTTTCAACGATAAAATCATAAATTTACATGCTCGTGTAAATCAAAAAACATTGAGAGAGCTCATATGGCGGACAGACCGATTATTTGAGCAGTTTTTTCTCCGCCGCGTACAGCTCGAGTCACTTCTTAAGTGGGAAATTTCTGAAAAAGTGTATTGTATGTTTTGTGAGCTCAGTTTTTGTGATGTGCACAGTTCGAAAAGTAGTGTAAATTTCTGTTCAATATGATGCACACAAATGGAGCGTCATATTTCATATAAGTTTACATTATATATCATGTAAAGTTCTAGCACAATTCATGCAATGTTGCAAATATTGTATACAAAAGCCCATCTTTGTAAACAATATTGTTTACAAGTTGCTCCGTTGTGTGAAATTAAATTTAAGTTTACGTGAATGAATGTTTACATCACAATTAAAATTCAGAATTTTTATCTGTGTGGAACGATATGCATATGCGCGTTCACAAATATAAAAGTTCGATGGAATGTACACACTTAGAAATACCTAATTTTACACGTGACGGAATCCATCTTTGACATAAAGCATACGACGTAAACAAACAAGTCATGTAAAATTAAGTGCTCTGAGACTGAAAAGTTCGTTACTCGATGAAAAATATGTTTGATTGAGCTGAATTTCGTGTCTATTATGACTCAATTTTATGTCAAAATTGACGCTCGTATATGTAAGTCTCAGAGCACCTAAATTTACATGAATTTTTCTAAGTGTGTATGTTTTAGTTCGTACAAAAAATCTATCATTTTAATATGGAAAAAAAAAAAAACATTCAGAAAAGCACGTCGTTTTTCTCCTGACTGATAAATTGAGCATCTTAACATTACACGCGAACCGTGCTGGCACCATACTTTGTGCCGTTCCCAGGCATGGAAAATCATTTGAATTCATTTCGTGCATTCATTTACATTCATTGCCTCTAACTTTTTTCTTCAACACCATTCTGCAAAATGATGTAAAGAGCTTTTGTAGGTTTTTTTATTAGCTACAACTTTTCTCAACAAGTCAAATCCGTTTCTCTTATGCATTATGAACCAGAGTGAACAGAAGCCACTACTGTTTTTCAGCGAATGTATTTTACATTCACTGAAAAACAGTACAAGTTCTGCCCGCTCGAGTTCGTGATGCATAAGAGATACATATTTGAGTTATGAGCAAAAGTTGTAGCTTATAACAAAACCTACAAAAGCTCTGTACATCATTTTGCGGAATGCTGTTGATAAAAAAAAGTGAAAGGCAAATGAATGTAAATGAATGTATGAAATGAATGCAAATGATTTTCCATGCCTGGCCGTTCCTAACTATGAGTACTTTTGAATTTTTTATCAATGTTTTAATATGTTGCTACTGTACCCAACAAACATTGAATATTCAATAAGAGCTTATTCAGGCAAAACCAAGCTTCTTCAGCTAAAAATAGCTTAATCAGCTGTTGATCAACTCAAATTGTTTGTTGGGTAACCACTGCTCCCTTGTTCTACAAACGTTTCCAAATATCGGGCTAAGTTCGAGATACGATTGACAATTCATATATTATTGCACAGTTTTTCTTCTATTCGGGATCTAACACCACTGCGACCAGTAATTTGATCTATTTTCGCTTTCAAATGGTCCTACCGTGGACCCCCGCTAATCTGAACGACACTCCATTCATATTAACGGGGTTCATTTTTAATTTGAACTTCTAGTAACCCTATCAGCGTGTTTCTGGTTGCCTTATTTGCTGTTTTGTTTTGATTCTGCGTTCCGTTTTGCAATGTTCCATTTCGCTTTACTCCGTTCCATGTGCAAAATGACGTATAGGCAATTTTTAGTTGGCACGCCGTGCAGATAACCGGGGTTCAAATTAAAAAGTGTTCAGATTAAAACCGGTCATATTACCGGGGGTCCACGGTATCTGCTTTGATCGATTCTCTTCATCGGCTTCCTCTTTTGATAACCACGCCTACGCAAATGCATTTGGTGCTATTTTTTGCCACACAGTTTGATAGCAGAAGTTCCTATCTTGTGCTTAGAACGTTGAACACAGCAGGGAATGCTTTTGAAGTTGAGTTATTAATGGAAGAGAAAGTCGATTAAGTGAATCGTTCAATGCAGATAGGACCTTTTCAAATGTTTATCTAGTATTGTAGTCAGAGCGTAAAATTATTGACTGTCTATAGGCTGAGTGTGAAAGCACTACACAGAAATAAAAAATTACCCAAATTAGAATTCATTTGACTCAATCTCGAAGTTCCGTACGAGAAGCTAATTTTGGGTAAACATGAAAAAACCTAATTTTGGGTAAATTATCGAAAAGACTGCAGTGGGTAATTTTGATCAAGAAGGAAAAACCAAATTTTAGGTAAATTGAACTTAGCGATAGGTTATTTTACCGGGCACTTTTTCCGAATAAAAAAAACCTAGCGTTGGGTCGGATTAACTCAACCATGAGTTATTCACCGGAATTTTTTTCTGATAAATAACCTATTTTTGAGTAAAATTTACCCAATGGAACGTTATATTAGCGGG